GAACAAATGTAGTCAGACAACTAGGCGATAGGTAATACTCAAATGCCATTCGAAAGGAGAATGATAGTAGACTGCATGTCGAGCCAGTTCCACGGTAGCTGATCTATGCAAAGACGACCGTCATCCGGGTGTGTCACTTATGACAACACGACAGAAGAATGTCGGTCACAAGGGAAAACAGTGGCCTCAAACACCTTGTCATGGACAGGGGGCGGCGAAAATGAGAGGCTGGTGAAGTCTTACTGGCGTCAGATAATCGACCAGTTGACAGATGCATTTAATACCAGCCCTCAACCGTGTCTGCCGGCCGTACCATGCCACGAACGTTGCAAAGGATGGATTTCTCCAGCCGATACCGTTGCTAAACCCTTGATTTCGGATCCAAACAAGGAAGTACAGCTACAGTGATGTCGGGAGTGGCAACATTATGCCATTGATGACTGGAAGCAAGTGGTGTGGTCCGATGAGTCACGGCTCACTCTGTCCTGTACTGACGGATGGGTTCACCTATGGAGGAAACCGCAGGACTCCCTTGACCCGACGTGCGTTTTGCCGACAGTGCGGGCCTCCGACGGAGATGTCATAGTGTGGGGGGTGTTCTCGTGGCATTGGCTGGATCTTTTGGTTCAACTGGACGACTAAATAATTGTCTGGGTATATTTAAGCGTCGTTGCTGATCGGACACACAAAAATGCTGTACTTTTGCCCCGATTTTATGACTACTTTTATTCACCCTGCGCACATTGTCTTTGGTTTGAGGTGGTTTGAGGAACATGAGAGGGAATTTCGGCATATTCAATGGCTGGCACGATCCCCGCATCTCAATTCAGTTGAGACTGTGGGACGAATATCGTCGTCTTAAACCTCTACCGAATTCTTTTTCCCAGTTGAGTACTACTCTTATACTATTTGAGTAAATTCCTACCAGACACCTTCCAAGATCTTGTGGAACTCATGCCACATGAACTCGCAATTGTCATTTCGGATAAAGACGGCCCAACCCACTGATTCGGCTGAGGTCCTATTAAAGTGGCTGGGCGGTTAGATTTCGTACTTAACTCATAGAATTTTGGGGTCAAGAAAAAGTTCGCAGTCTGTATCGGAATCTGCAAGGAATCATCTATTGTGCCGATAAAGCAAGTGTAGGTGAATATCCAGATATCGGTACCCATATTGGTACATTATAAATCGTGCCGTTCATCTTTCCTTTTAAAATTCGTTTCAGCCCTTCCATGACTCGAACAGGCGAAAGAAACCTATAGGTGAAGTCTTCATTTGATGTGCATAGCTTCCGGGCTGAAGATGGAGGAATATCGCCATTATTCCCTCACAAGAAATTTCCCAATCATCATGGCAGGACATCTGGCTCCCCATTATAGGTGTCTGTGTGATTGTGGTGGAATGGGAATGAAAGCTTCGGCTCAAACGTTCTCATCTTCATGTATACCATATATTCAGTCCGTGTTCATTCTCCAACCCCCAGGGAATTATTATGTTCACATACATGTAAAAGCAACTTAGGTCAGTGTGCAACATGCAGGGGTGGGCGTAAGTCGCAGGATTAAGTCAAAATACGAGGGTCGTACCTTCCAGGGTGATTTTCATTGGTACGAGGTAATGTATTCAATTGAATGCGATCGCGTCCTGGTCGAATTCTTAATATTCTAGCCAAGTATATTTATGTGAATATTGAGAATTATGCGAAGGATGCTTTTTTGCATTCTTGCGAAGGGTCCGTATCACAATACCGAAACACGGATGACCGAAAGAAGAGAAAGTCGAATCCAGTCCGAATCTAGTCCAAGTTTTCTCAAAAGACCTGAAGTGTGAAATTCGAAAAGAAGGCCATTTGTAAGGAAACACCGAAAGTGACTCAAGGGTCTGGACAAATAAAATATGGGGATATTCCGTTAAACGTTGTGTCCTTGGCACTCAGTCTCCTCCATGTCTTCGATGCCATAGTTCTCACTAACCTAGTGCCATCACAGATCCGGTGGTGGTCGGATGCTCTCGAAATGGGAAAAAAAAAGAAAGCCTGCCATCGTGGGTACTCCTATGTGAACAACAACCACAAAAACCACGAAACAACAAAGCAGGAAATGGTGAGGCTCATCGTTGGACACAACCTTCCAAAGCCGGAAAAAAAAACAGGAAAGGCAGCGTCAGCCACGGTTGGAGAACTTTGTGAGGGACAGAAGATACTGATCGATTTTTTTTTTCATGGTATAGCCTACAATTTGTAACTGAACGCGCAAGCATCAAGCAGATTCGTGTGTGGCCAATGATGTATGTGACCAGAACTCGAATGACGACTACGACTGCGAATACGGATGAAAGTTGAAAAAAGGATAATGTGCATATCATTCATTATCATTAGCTTATTCGATATTCTCATACAGTTGAACTTTTCTTCAGTTTCATGAATGTTGGATGTTTTCAAATTCGGGAAAGTCTCATTCGGTCTTTTCAAATTTCGAGCATTTCTGTTTTAGTAATATGAGCCGCATCGCTTGTAGCCGCAGTTTTACAAACGGTGCGGCTACAAGCAAGCGCAATATGAGCCTATGGTTAAGCGCAATATGGCTACATGCAAGCTCAATGTTTATACTACCTGAATCGTGTGCCGTACGTCTGCGTGTATCGCTCATGGCGGAGATCCGATCTGCCTGTAAGGCGATCCGTACTCGTGTATACCAACGTTTCAATGCCTGGAAAACAGTGTGGGGCACTGCATTACGGCAGGACATCAGTTTGACCGTCTAATTTAGACGTGTTGTTGCATACATGTTGAAGGTGTGTCTGCCTTCATTCATACTTCTCTGTTCTGTACGTTATGTCCAATCCCGTAAAAATCGATGTATGTCAGCTTTAAAAAAGATATATCTTGAGTAAGTAAACTATTATTAAATACTATTATTATTATTAAACTATTATTAAATTGTCATTATTTTAGATCTTTTTGCATGCAATTTTTTTGCAACAAAAGACGTTCCAAGATGTTCTTACTCTTAACTGAATGCATCAGAAAAAAGCCAAAAACCTCACGAGATGGCCCAAGGGGATGTTCCCACGTGGACGTGACTTGGCTGTTGAATGGACTAACTTCGAGACGAAACCCAGTCATTCCGGTTAGGTGTAAAACCCCTCATTCCCTGGATCTCTACCCACATATATTTCCTTATATTAGAAGGCTTCCTGCGATTTCTCTCCAATCTCTGTCACGATTGCGAAGACAAATTCAGGGACGTGACCGGATACTCACTCATGTAGTGTATTTTCGGTTACGCACTGAGTTATTTATGCTATTATTTATCCTTCTGTTCTCTTTGTTCGTGCAGTCATGAATTCCAGTTCATGCCTAACATTGCAAGTCGTCGTGTGGCCGATACAATAAAAAAGTAGCCTTCGATTTTTTTTTTCCCCTTCTGTCTGCTTGCTTTAATTTTTAGAATGAGTCGCTTAGTGGGCTTAATTACATTTTTCTTGTAGTTCCACCCAGGTTTTGTTATGGGATCTTTTTTCAGCGATGAAACTGCCCAAACGTCTGTGTACCGGTACAAAACTTTCTTCAAGATTTGTGGGAATAATGCTTCTTCATGTGTTTTTTTTTTAAACATTCAGTAGCAAAGTTATTATAAAATGAATATGAAATGGTAAGCTCTCGTGGAGCAGCACAAAAGTAGAAAAGGGATTATCTTTTTAGTCTTATTATTCTCCATCTCACTGCCTGGAACCATTTCCAGGTATTCTCTCCTTCACTCTTCCGCTTATCCCACTCACCAGTGCCGTTTACACTGCCTGGCCCAAAAATGAGAGACCCACCAATTTTGTAATTATCTGCCCCAGTTGACTGTTTACGTACAGGGTGCAGTCGAAAAAAAAATCGTATTGTCTCGTCAATACTGAGATTAACAGACCCTTTTCAGAATACATTTGTTCATCGTGGATTGATACTTTGAGACATAGGCACTTAACAATCGGGCAGCCAAAAACGGAGAGGCATGAATCGAAATTTATGCGCAAGGCTCTCATGTTGCATTCATGATCCGTATGTTCATTCACTTCTTTATTTTCATTTTTTTCCCGTAAGTGCGAGTTCGTATGAAAAATTGAGGTCACCAAGAAGGTTGAAGTCACAATGAAGGAATGAATGAACCATAGAGATCCGGGTTCTGGTGTAATGAATGTCATTAGTTCCCTTTAATTGCCGCCTGTATTCTCATTGATCCACAGAAAAGCTTCCATCATATGGCATGCCCGCAGGGGATTTTTTGTCTCTTTTTTTTCCTTCCCTTTTCATGCGATTCTAATGGTTCGTTTCCTCAATTCCCCACAGTTCACTTTCCCTCGATTGCGTTCTTCTACGGTCACCCAGCTCCATGCTGCGAAACGAGCCCTGGATCCGTCTCTGTGGGAGTTTATTTTTGTTTAGTTGAGTAGTTGAGGAGGCTGGGATTCATTCAGCTCGACGGCTATGATTAATTGACGCCGTTCTCTGATAAGTGTCACGAATCGCTTCTGGGCTTCTGTCACCCGTCGATTCGTCTCTTCAATGTGCGAACTTGTATTCATACAAAAATCTATAATTTCTTGTTATTTTGATTACGCTCAGTTGCTTTTCTTCTGGATTTATATAACATCTTTTATTTAGTTTTTCTTTTCCATTTTTTTTGCACGCAACCGAACCATTCACTTACTAGTCATTTTACATTTCATTATAGTAGTGGCTTTTAAAACTTCCTTTCACTCCCATTGAACTTTCATGCGTCCAGAGGGTTGCGACCCCCCCTCCCTTTCAGTTTGAGAACCGCTGCATTATAGGCATAGTTTTTATTCATTAATCCATCTGACTTTTTGTGCTAAATTGCGAGTGATAGAATTTTGCAGAAAATTCAGCATGTATCTCGCCGCTATGTTCCGAAACGCTTGGTTTGGGAATTGAGTATTGGCCTAAGTATGGAATGTCTGAATTTATTAATTGTGTGATGAATCGTTGTTAGCCTTCGAGTGTTTTGGCTCTCCCGTCGTGGTCGGAGGAGGAGATCCTGGAGGAGATGGAGGCACCCGAGCAGGTTAAAGGCCATCAGCTACAAAGGGCCAACTCCAGGGGATCTCTTCGCAAACTCCCCTCCCCTCAGGTAATCAAATAAAATAAAAACTGAATCAAGAGGTTTTGTGCTTTTTGCATATCTATTTGTTAAGATTGAATTTTCCCTGCATAATGGCAAAATGGAATATTTTGGAAGGAAACTTTCAAATGTTGGTTCCAGAACATTAAAAATCTTGCACGTAAAACTCTCAAAGGTGTTCTCATCCTGGAACTTTATTTGCAAGTCGACTTTCCAAGAAAAATCACAGGAAATACTTTCTAATGTGGGCCTAAGAGGCCAAACTTGCGCCTTCGTGCCACAACTTTTTTGTTACATTCTGGCATTTGCTCACTTACGTAAGAATTATATGATAGATGTTGAAGGGGTGAGTTTTTGAACTTGTTTTAAATGTGAATTCCAACTGTGCTGTGAAAGAACTGCAGAATCGGAATCGGCAACATACTGAATCCATCCACCATCGAATTTTTTGGAATGGGAATAAGGGGGATATCGGAAAGTTCTGCTTAGTTAGAATTTATGGATAGTATTCATTTATAAACATTCCGGAATCATTCATAACCTTTCATATCCTGGTTTTCTTGGGAAGCATACATTAATAAATTGGCCTACTAAAGATTTAAAGGCATCAGGAAATGACGAATGGTTGGATGACACAAAAAAAGTTGCATATGCTCATATTTACTGTTTTATTTGCTGTTGAAGGTTTTTTGTTTTTCACTTTTTCTTTGCTGTTACTGCGCTGAAGAGACTGTTGTATGATCGTCGTAGGAAAAGACGTTGGCCCTGGCTCACCTGCTGGGAGGAGAGGTTGTAACTTTGGATGTGACCGGAAAGAGCTTTGACCGGATGACGGCGTTCCGGAGGTCCCTGGTCCATTACGAGTTCATGAAAGAGCGACGAAGGAAGAGGGGTCCTCGGAGGAACACAGTAGCTGGCGACAACCCCAGCCTTATCCGCAACGCCTTCCACCTCTTCTCGCAAAGGTTTGTCCTCCATCTTCCCATACCCTCTCTCTAGTGGTACGTTCTCATGGCAATAAGGGGATCAGACGTTGGATCACATTTTCCTGTCCAAATAGGGTATTAGAGAAAAAATATATTCTGGTCACTGGTATTGATTCACTCTTATTGTCCTCCTTTATTGGAACGTCCAATTGTCCTGCAGAACTTTCTGCAGCCCGCAAGATAAGAGCCCCAGACTTATATGTTCATACCCCTGAAGAACGTGATCAAATGCGCATAAATAACCAATAGTCAAGAAATGTGTTATTCAAGTTGGTGGACCTCATGGATGAATCGAATAAATAATGTAAAATCGGGATGAATCCTAGTCTCGATTAAGAAAATTGAGTGTTGCAAGCATATGTGGGCAATTTGAGATGGTGCAAATGCATGTGATCTCATGAAAATACGTATACACCGGGTGGCGCAAAAAAAAAAAACACGTCGTGTTTGACGCCTTATAAAACCCGTTGTGTTTTTACGCCAGTTCTCATCGTAGTATTCTGCGTGGTATCGATCCTGATGCTACGATGTACGAGAGTAGTATGTGTTGAATACTGCGATGAAAACTGGCGTAAAAAGTGGTATTCATTACGTCAAGGGAGAGAAATCATTCGAGCAGTCCTGACACTCCATCCTCCTCGTGCGCGGAAAGGCCCATTTTATGACTCCACTTTGAGCGATTGTCGATATTTATTCAGACAACTTAGGTTCAGAAAACTTTCAGAAGACAAATTTTGTGGTGTTTCCAACTTAATATGAAAATATCACGAACCTAGATCATCCACAACGGATTTTATAAGGCGTCAAACACGACGCGTTTTTTTTTTGCGCCTCCCGGCACATGGGACGGTTACGAACAAAAATTAAGAAATAGATAATGAAATGATGATGTAGTGATTGACGCATTGCATATGACTCAGGTTTGTCCTTTTTATTGCAGAGGGGCGAAGATGCATAAGATTGGAGTTGGAGAGCCTCTGGAAATGTCTTATGAGGACACAACGACCCAGACCGACACGGATGTTGTCTCCCAGTCATCCTCAGAAACCAAGAACGTGTTACGGTCCCAGAATGGAATCCTTTGCCATTCCCACATCCCAAACCGCACCTTTATGGCTGAGGTCCACTCTGCTCCACAAAACCTGAATGCTAAGATGCTCAAGGATGATGCCATGGAACCAGAAGGTTGTGTCTATATATGTTACAGTTGCAATAACTATGATTCATAAATTATGAGCATATTCTGCAGGTGAAGCTAGTGACTGTGGTGTAATTGTCTTTGATGGGCAACCATAGCACGCTCAAGGTTTAGTCATAAGTGCGGCCTGAATTTTGATAGAATGCATTTGTCTTGGAACTTCATTTCAGGGCAGCTTTGTTGGTTAATTATGATTTCTTTCCTTATTCTTTCCTCTACCTCTGCTTCATGCTCCAATAAATTTTTATAGCAGATGAGTGGAATGCTTCAAATGTAAAATTCTGCCTAAGTAGGTTTGTGAAATTTTTAATGATGTGCTCCATATCAGCAATGCATTGCAGTATGGGTGCATGGTTGCATTCATTCTAACAACAACTCTAACAAACGTTTGAGCTGTCAAAATTTCTATGCATGCAAAATAAGAGATCAAACTCTGAGAGAAACTGGCATTCAGCTTATTGTACATTTTTAACAGGTCGGAGCAGTTCAGGGCACTGGAGTGCATCAGCCAGCAGCGGTGGGAGCACCCGCACCTCCCTGGAATCAGAGAACCATAAGGTTCCATCTGGTGATGATCATGATTCAGCCTTGTCTGATGGGAGTAGCAGTAGACCAAATGACAATTCCTTGAGTGAACGAACTGTTTCTCCAGATGATGTTCCATTTATTGATGAAGAGTCAAGTTCGTTGTACTCCTGCGATACTGAGGGATACTACACATCCTTTCATACTGACAGTGGGCTTAGGGCACTTCAGCGGGAGGTCTCTGAGAATGAGTATGAACTTTTTGGAAAAGGAAGCACTTCAACAAACACAAGCAGCTCAACAAGCACTGTTGTTCGTAACGATGGAACTGTGAAACGTCGTTTGAAGGTTCCACCTCCTCCACTCCCCCCTCGCACAAGCTCTATTGAGTGGAAGCACTCACTCAAGAGTAATCGAGACAGTGTTGTGACTGTGATCAATGTTGAGGACCTGAGGGAGGATGAGTCAAGCTCAAATGCATCCACACTGAAGAATGAGGGGACACAAGAATCAGACTCTGACTCACATATTGAGGAAGGATGCGAACAATTCAAGATGAAAACATCCATTACTGCTAATCGCATTCCACCTTTATGCACAGTTACTCCACCATACAGTGACGATGAAAGCCGGAATGCAAACAGTACTGATGTGACTCCAGTCAACAGTCCTCCTGTAACTCCAACAGAAAAACTTCATGCAATTCCTGCTGACTGCTCTAATGCAATTCTTGTTCATGGAACTTCATCAGCAAGTTACATTGATCATGCAAATTGCTTAAATAGAAATGCAGCTCCTATCAGTGATATTCAAACACCTTCTATTGATAGCCATGAAGCAACTCCTGTTAACAGCACTTGCACAACTCCAGTAAATGGTCCAGTGACTCCTGCGAATGGTCTGCACTTTGTGCCCATTCGTGTGGGGGCCATTCCTGATCTTGTGCCAAGAGAAGATTCCTTGCTCTCAGAATCAGGGAGTTACATCAGCCTGAAAGAACTCCCTCCAACCACAACATCCAGCTATCCATTCTCTGCCTCCCCTGTTGCCATCATTTCACCCACAAACAGTCTGGAGAGGAAGAATGATTTACGAGTGGGTGCCCGTGTGACATTGGACTCTCATGGTGAGGTCATCTATTCCTCAGATAGTCTTCCTCACTGGAAGAAACAGACAACCAGCTTTGAGCCAGGTGAACGTGTGAGGATTGGGTACAAACGACCCGACACCCTACCATTAGAGACAAGTCTGGAACAAGTCCCAATCATTAGACCAAATCTGGGTCCAATGTCCCCCAAGTCACCTCGGGGAGGTGCTTATGTCAATGTGCAAGGAACCACCCAAATACCAGTTCCATTAATCAAAGCTATGAGCCCCATGAGGGAAATGAACAACCGTCAACGTTCCCTCTCCCCAGTTGATCACATCAATAACAACAACATCAAGCGTAATGAGAGTTACCGCATGGCCAATGTTGGCTATGGTCATGGTCATTCAGTTGCCCGGAATCCAAGTTACAAGACTGCCAACCAGAATCTTCATTCTAATGTGAAGCTGGTGCGAAATCCAAATACATCAAGGCGATTCTATGGAGCCAAGGTCACAGTTGACCCAGCTGTCCTATCTCCTCGTCGGGTTGACGGTCATCCGTCTGACCCAGGTAAAGACAAATGGGAAACCTCTCTCTGATTTTTTTTTTGTGTCAAATATTTTCAGATCTCAAAGAAAGGCATGTTTGATCTTTAGATAATTATTCTGTGATAGACATGTTCCTTGTCAGCTGTCCTTTTGTACAGACCCTATTCAATAAATGTGCCATATCTTTCTTGTTTCTCTATCCTTTTTTTATTTTCCTTTTTTGAAGTAATTTTTTATGCTCATGTCATGATTACCTTGTCATTTGCCTCTGTGCATGGGAACTATGAAAAAAGCACTACTTCTTGTCAACTGCACAATACCTATGCATTGTAATTCTCTGTACATTCTGTACAAAAAAAAATTTAAGCATAAAACATGTCATTCATGTGTAATAGTGCAATTTTGTCAGTTGGAAGATTATGGTAGGGAGTCAGTACAGGTCTGACTAACCCATTTATCTTCATCCCAACCATGTCATGTTGCAAGTGCTTGAGGGAGACTGTTTCTTCTTTTCTGGATAGCATTCCTTATCTCATCTGACATGAACCTTTTCCATTTTATGTCTTGTGTTTGCATGCACATGACAATTCTGTCATTGTTTGATACCCTTGAATTTATGATCCTGCATGAGAAGGATTTTTTTTTCTTGAACATGCATGGCAACAGTCACTTGTGCATGGCAGAAAATATTCACATATGAAAATTTTCACTACCACTGGCTATTGCCACAACTCTTGTGGCAAGTTTTGTAAGGCTTCTGGTGTGTGTACCATGCACCAAAATTAAATTTTAAAAGCATTTGGAGAAGTGGAATTAACCTTCCTTGGCATTATCATCAGCTCCAAGAGCTATGGAAAACAATTTTCTGGTCTGTTTCTCTTGTTTCCATGTCTTTCAACTTGTGCATATCTGAATTTTCCTGCTTTTTCTCCAATCTGTCCCTGCATGACTCACATGGATTTCCCTTTCTTTTTCTCCAGGCCTGGCTGGCTCTTTGAGAACTCGTCCCTCAAATGCTCACCTGCAGCCACCTGATAGCTATGTAAGGTGCCAGATCCCAGTCCGCTGGTTTCCCTGCAACAATGTTGATGCACCATTCCTACAACACAACAGCCTCCCCTGTCATTCCAAAGGATTTTCCCCAATCCAGAAGCCAGATGCATTCATCCGATCAAGTGCAACAAGGCATACATTACCTGCGAGATTTTCTTCATCTAGTCCTCATGATGCCACTGAGGGTCTCAGAATGTCACCTATATCCTCTTCTTCACCCCTCCCACCCTATCAGGATGAGAGCTTGACTGATGTCAAAAGCAAGCCTGGTTTTTTGCATCTGTTTGACACCTCAAGCAAAAATGATTCAATTAGAATTGATAATTCTTCACCCAAAAATAGTCCCAGACCAGATGGCTATGCTTGTGTTCGATCCAAGACCAGTCCAAGGACTTCCTATATTGATGCTTCGTGTAGGAATGGTCAAATGTATTTTGATGACTCTTCATTCAGAAATAATCCAACAAAGTACCATGGTAGTCCATTCCGTGTAACTGACCCAACATGCAGATACCTAAACATGGATCGAACTCCACCTCCACCATACCAACACCCTCCATCACTCAAAGAACTTGTGAATCCCCATTACTGTTATCGTCACCCATCAAGCCCCAACAACAACTCTTCTCCCTTTCTGCCTATGAGCACAAGCAGTCCATTGGAGAAGCAATCTCCAGTCTATGGCTCTGTAATTAAGCCCACTGTCCCTACTGGGGAATCATATGGCAAGCGTAAGCTATATGAATTAGACATCTCGAGCAGTCCAGCATCCACACGAAGTGGTTCACCATTGTCATTGAATTCAAGTTTTGTGTCAGAAGATCTCCTCATCCCTGAGACCCAAACAAAGGGAAAGAGACGGTTCAGTTGGGCTGGTCTACCATATCAGATGAGGCGACATCCAGGAACTCCCATTGATGATTTCAAGCAGCTCCTTCTCCAACATGGTCCCAGTAGCCATGCCCGCACATCAGCTGTTGAACGGCTCAAACGATCTCAAAATCATTTCTCATATCGACAGGAGGATCTAGCTGGGCGACGGTCAGTGATCGATGATGTCTTTCAGAATGTCAGGGTTTAATCTCTAGTTGGACTCAATTTGCATGTTTACAGTGCAAATACTTTCTTCAATATTTGCTATTGTAAAATAGAAATGGATTAAATAGGTAAAATAGGAAAAACCTATCCATGTATTAATGGTTTCAAAGAATTTGAGAGCTCTGTATTGCATATTCTACCAGCTTTTGTCCTCTGATGTGATTAATGTTAGTCTCTTCATGGGAGCGATCTTAAATGATTGTTTGTGGTTGCAGGGCACGAGAGAGACTGTCATCAATTGCAAGCCGACTGGGTCTAAAGAGTGGGTTCCATACACCACACAAGACGGATGTCATATCGACTACCATCTTGGAGGACCAAACAGAAGATGAGGACTTGAACACAGAACGCTTTTCCTCTGACAGTAACTCTAGTCACTATAATCCCACCTCTCCAGATCGCATCAGCCTGGAAACTGCTCTTTGAAGATGCTAGGCTCCCTTTCCCTTTGCTACATCCACTGTCCTCCATCTCCTTGTGCTGCACCTCTGCCTTCCCATGGGAGAAGGTTTGCAGGTGCTTATTGAAAGTGGTACAAATTTCTTTCCCTTTCCTGGTACCAAAAGAAGGAAATTTTTTGGTAGTAACCATTATGTCTGGATTCGATCTCATGCCCCTGTTCCTTATATTTGAACTTTCAAGAATATTTTGACAAAATTCATCATGATAGCTTTGAACTCTTCTATCTAGAGTCTTGATTGCATGGGAATTTTCAAATTGTTTTGAATGAAGATTTCATGCTAAATTTGAGTTTGGTGGCTTGTTTATTCTGTGTACTGTAATTTTCCTTGTTGCAATAGAGCTCCTTGTGAGTTATTCCAAAGTTCTACAGGAGTATTAAGACTGTGTTGATGCCAAAGGATCTTGGTATATTTTCCCAAATTTTTAGGGATTAGTAGCATTCAAATTGTCTCGCTAAAGTCGAGTGCTATCGCGCAAATTCTCTGATTTTGAAATTGGAACAATTCCACTTGAATTTAGTCATGAGCAAGTCATTGCCCGTAAAACTTTTTTTTCATAGTTATTATTTCTTAGTTTTGCAAGCAATAAACAGATGGGAACAAACAGTTCTGCTCCCTATTCTAAAACATCCTTTCCATTACTGATTGAGGCTAGCTGCATTCTTTATTTAGCGTCTAGGAGGACACATAAGGTAACATCTAAGTTCAAAATCATTTGGGACGGATGTCGCCCTATTGAATCGCAAGAACTTACATTTCTGCACCATAAATAATGAACCAAAATGACCTCTATTGACTCTCATGACTGAAATCAGTATGGTTTCCATAGGTTGCTACGTGTTATCTAGAGTTCGTTCTGTAGAAAGCCTATTTCCTGGACGCCACTTGCTGTAATACAATTCTGTAATTCCCTTCTAATATTGGTAATACCGAAAATTAATTTGTAGGCTTCAGATTTTTTAAAGATCTTAAGTAAGATTTTTAAGATTTAAGATTTTTAAGTAAGATTTTTCTTGGGCCTGTATCGCACTTTTTTTTTTAGCTTCCTCACAATTGTATTTTTTTTTTTTTGCAGTTCCTTCCCAGGCTTTACTCTAAGTTCTGAATCGGAGTCGCGCCGAACTAGGTGAACGGATTCAAGGGTCCCTAAAGACCCTTATTAATTTGGCAGTATTGGCAGTATTCGTTAGCGAGTGGGCGAATGTGGGGATAAATTAAGCGAGTTCTCGCAATCGAGAACAATCCATCTACTCGTCTCAGACTGGCAGACATAGAAAACGCCTGTGTTGGGAAGGGGGGATGTGATGGCTACTCGCTGGAGGCCGCAGATCACACCCCTCGAGGTAATGAAAAGGATGATGAAGTTCACTCATTGTCACTCACTTTTCGCCTTATACCGGGTGTTGCACATAGATAGCCCCCCCCCCCCCCAGCTATCTATGTGCAACACCCTGTACTTCCTGGCAACTGGAGTTGCCAGGAAGCCCTTGAGAAAAAAATTCAGGGACTGTGAAGTTTGGGAAAGAGAGAATTGTGATGAATCAGAGAATTGTGATGAATGAACGATTTGGTGCTGTCCCATGATCAGCACGCTACCCATACTTGACAGTCCCAGATTTTTTTCTCTGGGGTTTCATAAAAAAAAAACTGTAACAAAACCAAGGAATGCTGATGATCTAAAGAACATAATTGGGGAAGTTATCAATTCCATTGACAGAGAGACATCCCAGACAGTATTGAACAATCCATTGGTTCGATGCAGAGTGCATCGATCAGGGCATTTGAAAATGTTATTTGCAGAACTGAAAGCAATGCTGTGTGAATTCTGAATGTTGGAACATAATTTCCAAAGTTTCTATTAAATTGTTTCCAAATTTCAAGTTTAAGGCATTAACCATTCTTAAGTATAAAAAAATAAAACAAGTGTGTCAGAGACACGTGGAACACTGTATGTGTCAAATCCTATTACATTTATTTTCTTCACGTCTGAGGAGGCCAACGAAGGTCTGTGTGCGTCACTCTTGCGGACACAAGAGGCATCAATGAATGAACAAACGATCGTCTGCGCAAAAGCAGGGAACCCTGACTACATGCAAATCCATCATTCAAGACTGGATGAGGCAGTATCGAATAATTTACTCCGTCTCGCTCGCGCATATTTTCGTATGGTACTGTCGAGGACACACATGAACATTTGACTTTTTCAGTATCATGTAGCAGTATCATTGTATCATATTATCATGCGAGTTAGAAGCACCACAGAACCCAAGCAGAATAATATTTTCGAACTTGACTGTCCCAACGTGCTAAGTGCTCTGTAGTGCTTTAGCTCTCACGAGTACTTCATGTACTTGTTCATTCGTACATGAGAGGCAAGACACTGTGCTGAGATGAGTCGATAAAAAAAAGCCCTACATGCTCATAATTCAGCACAATCTTAGTCTTGCCATTTATGGCTCAGTAAAACTACGTTGTAAAAGAAAAACCGCCTGTGACGAATTCATCTCTCTGACTTGTCCAAATCTGATCATATGCAAATTTTAACTGTTTCATATTATATGCAGTTAAGAGTCCCGTCCCCCCCCCCCAAAGGGCTCACCCTTTTGCGGAGATGTGTCAAGATACTCCTCATCAGTGTAAATTAATTTAGTATTCCACTAAGAGTGCAGTATCGCTCACACTATTAGGGAAATCTATTAAGAGGGACGTTGAGATGGCGAGACAAGTCCATCCATACCCCACTCGTCAAAATCATGCCTGTGAATATTTTTTTCTAAAGCTGCCAGTTGTTCGATGAGAAGTGCTTTTCAGTCATTTCAATACTTTCCAGTCATAGTTGCCCCTGAAAGATTCACTCTTGTGCCGAGGTGAGTCAAAGTATGCCTCATTTCTTCAGATTCACTTACCACACGTTTGACAGTGCTCCACAGTACAGCCGCGTACCAGCTTGAAATCCCCAAAAGGAACACTGTCGATACAAGGGAAATCAAATGGAATTTCACGATCGAAAGCAGCAGTTCGAGCTCTCCAGAGATTTTTACCTCCCAAGGTCTACTATTAAACCGACGAAATCCACTTGGTTACGCACGCCTCCGGACGTGGATGTGAAGACAAGTCCGCACATATCTCATTTCTCGACATTGGTTCGATATTTCACCGAATGTACTTTCACACGATAGTGACCTTGACCTTTGACTTCTACGGGTCACACGATTTGGCCGCTGAGCCAATGAATCGGGATTTTCAAATCTCTTCGCTAGTACAAATGTGCCCAAATGCATCAAAATCAGAGACAGTCAAAAATAGTTTTTTTCCAGATTTTGTTCCACTTTCTCGGAGGCAGGCCTTTATCTGTCTGCGAGAGTATCTGACTCTCCTCCTCTACATAAGAAAAATCGTAGGGCTATAAATGGGATTCCCTGAAAGATTATGCCAGGCAAGCAACTCCTTTTACTGGACAAAAATGTGGTGTGCGATGCAAGAAATCATATAGGATACAGATTCAGTAAAGGAAGTTACAGCCTCACAGAAACAACCAAGGGATTGTACTGTTTGCTAGAGCACTACTACTAGTACTAGAGCACTTTCAAACAGAGGTGATAATGATAAGAGATAATTATTGCATCAGCTCATCTTCGATATCGGTAAAATGCCAAAGAAGGAGACAATACCAGGACGTTGACAATTAAATGTTAACAAAACGTGACACACGTGCGTATATTCAATGGTAAAATTTTTCTTTTCATTTCATTACTGTAGCATTGAACCAATTTTTTTACGCAACGTCGTGACAGCATTTCTACGTAGAAAAGTCAATCCTCGCTCAATGTGGACACAACGTTGTTGTGCCGGAAGGGGAGGACCGAGAGTCCGTCTTCCGTGTCTCTTCCTGAGGGACGTTTCAAACGATCGTAGTCTACGAGTGCGGGTGGTCCATCGCTCCGCATATTCTAGCCTTACCCTCGGAAGTGAAGCAATCAAATTTCGATAAGGAATGCCTCCACGGTGAAACGAGGCCATCGATCCGACTCGAATCGGCTCTGTGGTTTCTGCTCTAAAGTCTAGGAATGTACTGTATTCCATCGGCAAAAGATGATAAAGATGACAAAGTAAAGGACGATCTGAGAAGGGAGATCCGACTAGTCTTCACGCAAGGTTTGGCTTTTTCTCCCGTCTCTCTCTCCAGCGGGAATCGGTTCACTCGGGCATTCGGATGAAATCCATCCTTCCTTCTCTCTCTCTCGCTTTCGCTCTCTCTCACTCTCTCGAGTAGTCCGCATTGCTACGGACCCGTTCGAAGATGCGAGCCCTCCTGTAAGAGCCGATATCTCAGAAGAGATCACCGATGTGGAATCGAAATTTCAACCATCGCCATTTCAACCAAGCGAAACTGGAGTTAGCGATTTTACTCCCTAAAAACGGGGAAGTACAATCGATAACTACTCCTTTATATGAGCGGAATTCACAACTTTTTTTTTAGAGCGCGAAACGAAGGAGGGAGAGTACTTTTCAAACTAGTAGAAAAAGTTAGTGGTTATTCTCAGGAAAGAGAGAGGTGAGCGTTACTTCCTTGTTTTTAGGGAGTAAAATCGCCAACTCCAGTTTCGCTCCCTTTCGAGGAAATCGCTCACTTTTTTCTAAGAGTGTAAAGCGATGGCTCCAAGATCCTCGACGTCTAATCGATGATGAGAAATTATTAACGTGACGGAACAGGAGCACCAGACCCTATTGGAATTCAACCCGGAAGGCTCAATCGTGTTGAGTTAGCTAAGAATGCAGAATACGGGATTGAATTGTATGAGCGCATACGACCCGGGAGATCTACCGATCCGGGGATGACTATGTCATGAGAATGGCCGGGAGGGAAGATTGGTTGGAGGAGAGGACGAAAGAAAGCCAGGGGACGGCCGGGAATTGAACCCGGGCCTCCTGATTACCGGTCAGGTGTGCTTCCATTACACCACCGAACCCAGGACATTCCATCGTGCCTCTCACTGACATCCTTATCATGACAACTATATGTTCTATGGAAGGCGCACGAGTCGGATAGTGTCGCTAGGATCTTCCATCTACCATCTTTTTAATTTTTCTTTGTCAGTTCCAAGCTTTCAAAGTGAAACCTTTCCGCCCTAAATTTCGAATCATAATTCATTATAAATGCTACATAGGATGAGCGAACGTACTACATCGTCATCTACTTG